AAAAACTCCACCCGCGCATTTAACCCTTCGGGGCGGGGCGCGCAAAAAGGAGGTGTGACAACTATAAACGTCACTCATTTTTAAGTCCCCATTTGGATAATTCACTTGTTGTGTGTGGGTCCTAGGGGTGTTCAAACCGCACCAAACCGAAAAACCAAATCAAACCAATTAAAAAACCCGACTAGGTTTGGTTTGACTTGATTTGGTATTGAGTAAAAAAACCCGAACCAAACCGACATATAAATATATAAATTTTATTTATATTTTTAAGACTTTATAGTGAATTTTCTTTAGAAAACGTAGAAATATTTGAGATCCTCTCATGTATTAACATTGAAAGCATAAATTAACGAAAAACTATTGTTAGATGACTAAGAAAATAACTATCACGTATTACTAAAAAAAAATCCCATTAGAATATTTTAATAGATCATATGTTTGTCAAATTTTTCCATATTTACTAAACATATATTCACTTATCAAAGCTTTATCTATAATTTTAACAAAGTAAGATTGAAATAATATTCATGTAACAAAAAAAACCCGAAAATCCGAAAAAACCGACAAAATCGAACCAATCCAAACCGATATAGTTGGTTTGATTTGATTTTGATAAAAATCGAACCAACCCGATCCATGTACACCTTAGTGGGTCCAATTTAGAGCATTATATTTGGACTTTCTTTTTCATACTTGAGAATTTAATATCCTAAATTTGACCAAAGAGAGGATAACCTTATCAACTACGTGTCATGTCCAATCTGAGTAGTACTCAGATAAACACCTTCATTAATGTAAATTAATCCAATTTTGGAAAAAGTATTACGCTAATCCCAAAGGACTGACCCCTTTTCCCTTATTTGTTGACAGCTAACCACATCATTGTAACCATCAAGAATTGCGAGACGGGATAAAATCCCCCTTCACCTTATCAACTTATACTCATTGATTGTACTAAGAGACAGACAATTTTATTTTCATGTTTTATTTTTATTATTAATTATTTATTATTCAAATTATTTTCTAAGATACTTAATAATATTATTATTATGTATAAAATTATAAAATATATACTTTATTTTTAAGTTCCTTTTAAAAGGAGTGTAAAATTAAAAATGAACAACTAAAAATAAACAAAGAGAGTATATATATTATATTCGAGCTTGAGAATTACAAAATTCTGATAGAGACCCTTTAATAGGTATTACTCGGCACAAATTTAAATTAGCTGGAGTCGAAATGAAAATACAGAGCATTGGATTGGAAAACCAAAAATATTATCTAAGTACTCCATCCGTCTTAAAGTATCTGTTATATTTCACTTTTACATTAATTAGAATGAATTTTTGACTATTTTACTTCTATTTATGTCTTAAGATATCACTCATCGTCATTGAATATTTATTGTATTTATGTGTCATCTTTATCTTTAAGAATAATTATTACTAAGGGTAAATTGAGAAATAAATAAATAATTTTTTATTGAATTTTTAAAATAATAAATAATTTAGGATAACTATTTTTAAAAATCATGACAGACAATTTAAGATGATGAAGTATTTAAAAAGAAAAGAAAAATAACATAGAAGATGGTGAGCATAGTATAAATTGACAAATGTCAATCCCTCCATGCTCTGTTTATTTCATGACAAGTGTCTCAGACAGCCAAATTCATTTCTCTTTTAACATCTTTCTCGTAGTTCCATTCTGTACTACAACGCCTCACCATATCTCTCGTGTACCCTAGTGGTTGCCAGGTACCCCTCCAACTTGTGAGAAATTGCATTTACTCCTTGATAATATCGAAAATTCATCTTATCCAATTGAAGGTTCAATGGATCAAGACTATGTTAAATTGTTGTAATTCACTACAAGATATAAAGTTAATGAACATAGCCTTTTAGTTATTTGCCTTAACAAAGTTATTTCTCTCTAATCAAAGTAGTTGTTTAAAAGAATTTTGAGCTCTTAAAGAGTTTATGTAAAGTAAAAGAGAAAACGTTCATTAGATACAAAATTTAAAATATCTATTTTTCGTATTAAAACAGTTTAAAATGAAGACTAATATATTATTCTAAGGGTGCAAGCAAAAAGTCCTTCAAATTTCATTTATTTGTTGAAATTGCTCCTTTCAATAAGAAGACTTAATCTAAAGCATATCATTTAAAGGTTTACATGAATCATGATTGATTAAAAATATTATCATGTTTAATTTTTACAAACTTTAGTGGATAACATCCATGATATTCTTTTCAAAAACTCATCCTGCTAAAAAACACAGAAACGTGAAGAGGCAATATATGATGTCTCTAATTTCAGTTCACCAAATACTTTAACCAAAAATCTTACGTTCAACAACACTAATAATAACAACAACAATAAAGAACCCAGTGCATTCCCATAAATGAGGTCAGGGGAGGGTAGTGCGTGTACGCAGCCTTACCCTTACCTTGCTAAGATTTTAGCGCACCAAATCTTATGTTCGAATTCTAAAAATGAATTTTTTATTGTTGTTGTTGTAAAAAACACTTCTATTTTAATGAACCTTACACGACAAAATACGGAATAGTCGGGGATCTAAAAAAAGGTTCACTAAGTGCTAAAATTACATGATCAAATGAATCACAACAATTTTAAGCCCTAAAAGTACAATCCAAAAAAGAACATGGGTTCAAATTAATATTTCAAAAAGAATGGTGTCTCTACAACTATTTATATAATCAATCAAACTTAAATTATTGGTCCCAATAGAAAAGTTTCATATGTGAGTGACCACATCTAAATAATTCCTAATTAAACATCGAACTCTTTCATTAGAGACACCACCAAAAAGGGGCTATTCAGTCATACCCACGTGTCGCCCTACACCCTTTCTCATTTCAGCCACTTGTCCTTTGCAAAGTACTTTCTTTGTCCCCTCCACACTCAAAATCCATGCCCCATTTTCCTTTCTTTTTCCCAACTTCTCATTAATTTGTTTCATTATTATTCCCTCCCTCTTCCATTTCCTGTTCTTCATGTTTTCTTGATTTTTTCACCGCCCTTTTTCTCGAGCATAACTTGATTGTTTTTGCTTCTCCATTTTTAACATCTTTGGTTGATTTTTATAGTTATTGTGGAATCGCTCTTTTATTGTTGCTGAGGTTTTCTTTAAATTGGGTGCTAAAGACTTAATCTTGAAGCTTAGTCTAAGCTAATATGAACTTAAAGATCAGATTTTTCCATTTGGGTGTGCTTAAATTTGAGCATGGAACATTTAAAAATGCATCTACATGTGAAAATAGTTAAGTTAGATAGTGTAGTTATTTTGTGGTGGGGTTTATATGGTTTTGACATGGGTGATGCAGATGAGAGGAGGATGGAGAATCTTTCATTGGACACAAGCAGATTTTCAAGGGACTTATTGCAAAGATTTTTGGGCACTACTACTTCAGAAAAATCTGAACTTGAGGATATAAATGAAGATGAGTTGAATCTTGGTTTGTCATTAGGAGGTAGATTTGGTGTTGACAAAACTTCATTAGTAAGGTCTTCTTCTATAGCTGCTATTTTACCAACAGTTAAAGATGATGATGCACTGAATTCATCATCATCATCACCACAAGTATCTTATAATCATAGCAGCTTGGTTAGAACTTCTTCATTGCCAGTGGAAACTGAGGCAGAATGGAGGAAAAGGAAAGAATTGCAGAGTTTGAGAAGGATGCAAGCTAAGAGAAGAAGGTCAGAGAAAGTACAAAGGAATTTAAGGGGTGATAATAAAGGAGGAGGAGATGAAAAGAGAGGGATTGAGATGAAATTGAGAGGAAGAAAATTGGAGAGGGAACAGTATTTGGCTACTGCAAAAAAGTTTAGTTGTGGGTTGCCAACATTGGCTGCTTTTGGGGCAATGACAAAAGGGAAAGGAAGTTATTTGGGTAATAAAATGCAAGGGCTTGGAAAACCAGCATCACAGGAATCAATGGAATCTCAAGGTGGGAATTCTTCTAGTATTTCTGAATTGGAAAGTAAACCTGCACAAGGTACAACAATTTTTCTACGAGTTTAACTTATATATACTATAATGTTAGTTTTACTTATTCATTATGATGTGCTTCTTGTTGCTATTGTTTGCTCTTCCTACAACTTTGATGGATCAATCAAATTATTTGGAGTTGAGTATAAGACAATTTGGGGGTAGCTAGAGTGTCGGGAGCGGTTCGGCTGAACCCGCAGCCTTTGGTTCGAACCTTGTATTTGTTTAAAAAATTTATTAAATATGTCGATTACGAATCCATAACCTTGAAATTCCTGTTCCACGTTAATAGTAGTAATTTTTAACAAAGTAGAGCACATGCACTTTTTTACTTTGGTATTGAACAATTCTTGATCCTTCTATGAGTAGTCTATTTTTGGCTCAGTAAGCGTGTTATCACATGTTAAATTACTGTAGTAGGACATTTTCATTTTTCTTTTATTTTATGAGGTGGTGGAAAAAGTCTTAGTGCTTCTTGTTGAAAGCCTGCTGTTAAGATCTTCCAGATTTTTTGGCTTTTGCTTTATCTGTATTCACATTCACATGCATGTGTTTTTTTTTTAATTGCCATTTGCCACGTTCTTGATTCAATAGTATGTTTATCAAACTAATTCCTTCTATTAGTGCCACCTTAGGTATTGTATTGAATGTTTGACTATTTAGAGGTACTTAGTCTGGCAAACACTTTTAAGTATTGTTACTACTGTACTTGTCTAGGTAGGTGGCTTTTGGAAATTGAAAAGAGCAGGAAAAAAGCTAATGTACCAAAACAGATGCGGTTGGAAATGCTTAAGATAATAAATGTTGGTGTGGTTGATAAACCAAACTAAGCTCATTGAATATACTTTTTTCTTTTAATTCTCATGGTTGCTTGGTGTTAACCTAGTAGGTTAGAAATATTTATAAAATGATTTATTCCAAAGAGTGATCCTGACCGTGCTCATTGCATTAAATAGCAATTATTTTGATTTTTAACTTTGAAATATTATAAGGATGTATTCCGTCTGTCCCAATTTATATGAAATTCTTACCATTTGGGACACCCCCAAGTATGTTGCACCACTCAGCTAGTGATATTATTGTGTATAAATTTCAAGATTCTTATAAACTTTTAAACATTCATATCATAATTTGATGTTTTTAAATCATTGTTTTAATGTTTCTTTCACTATGAATAATTTAATGTTTATATCAGCTTGACATTTTAGACTCAGTGTGCATTCAAATATAGTTCTATAAAATGACACAAAAGGAGAATAACATTAGAGAGTTGGGTTAGCCTTTCCGTCTCTTAGTTAACTTTAGGAGGAGGAGGCACTCTTTCACATCAGGGGCGGACCTAATGCATAGACTACGGGTTCCTGGGAACCCAGTAACTCTTGCGTAGACCCTGTAGTTATATTAAGAAATTCATTAAATATTGGTAAATATCTGACTGTGAACCCAGTTATTATTGCATATTAATTTGAAATTAAGGTAGGAACCCATAAACCTCAAATCCTGGATCCGTCTCTTTTTCACATGGCGTGACAAAAGAAAAAAATCAGCAATAAGCAACATAAATCCCTATCACCAGTAGGTGGAAAATTTCTTGACAAGTTAGATAGTTGGCTGGTTAAGAATTTGTAGGTAACCTTAGTGCATTCGGCATTGACTTAGGTAACCTTTCGATATGGTAAATTTTCTTTATGCTGAAGTTGCTCTACATGGCTACTGAGTTCTAATAGTTTTTGAGCTTTTAAGTTTGATGAGTTTGTTTGTGATATAAAACATTACCTATTGCACATGCACCAATCTTCACTAAGATGTGATTTTTACTTTTTTCTAGAATGGTATCAGTGTTATATATCTTTAGCACAAAGACTGCTAAAATCCATCTTTACAGATTACAAAAACCAAAACAAAAAATATATCCTTGTTCTTTTTACAAGGACTCTATGATGCCTGACAATGAATCTACATCATCAACAAAATCTTTTTTACACAATTTTTTTTTTTAAAAAAAGGCAGTCATCTTGATTTTCTGAATGGAGCTACTAATTCTTAAAAACATTTTGTGTTTCTTTTCCTCTATATGGTCCACCATATGCAACCAGGAACGATTTTCCACCATTTTCTCTGCCTAACCAATTCAGTAGAGTAATTCCAGCATGGTAACAGGAGCAGTGTTTGGCCTGATCCATTTCATTCTTTTCATGATTCAAAGTAATTCAGTAACCTCACAGTGCAAAAGGAGATGACTATTACTCTCTGAATTCTTCCCACACAAATAGCATCTTGAGCAAAGTTGCATTCCCGTCCTCATTTAAATTATCTTGTGTCCGACAAGCATCCCCATCAACTAATTACCACACAAAACATGCTACCTTCAAAGGTGTCTTCACTTGCCAAACAGCTTTCCAGCGCCAGTTATATGTTTGCTGATGACTTCTACTTGTTTGTTTTTTGCTTATCATATTGATCTAATACATTTTTGCTTGGGCTTTTTGTTATTTCCATTTTGGCCAGTTCTCTCTCTGTTGAATGTACGAATTAGACCATTTGTGTTTGTATTGTCCAATGATAGATTCATATATCTTCCATACCTAGTGTTGTGACATGCATGCTAATTGAGGAATGACAAGATTCAAAAGTTTCTCATCATACGGGGCAAACAAACAGGGAAAAGGAGGTCACATAAAATGCTAGAAAAGAGGAATTTATTAAAGTCGCTCTCTGATATTTAAAAAAAAAAAATGTAAACCACTATAATGGACTAAATAAAAATTGAAATTGTGCTGCTTCCATTGGGGGGAAATATTATATTCTTTAGTTGAAACAGGTTCACAATGTTGAGTAGAGAAGGAATTAGTAGTTAATATAGGTGCTGACAAACTTCAACCTTACTGTCATTTCTCTAATAGAGCTTCTTCCGGCCAAAAGTTCCATTCACTGTATTTGTTATCATTTTGTGTGATATGTTCCAAGGTGATCACGATCATTAGGTTTCTTATTATACTTGTCATACAAAGCTTTCGCATTATATAGGCATTAATCGAATAACATTATTATGACTGAGACTATTCATTTTCTTGACGGAAATTACTGTGAATGCTCTCTTCTGGATTTTTCGTTTTAGAAAATATGCATTGAACAAGTCACTTAATAAGGTCTGATCAAGATAATACTCTTGTGTTGCTGACCAAACCTGAATGAGCTATTTGCAATAAAGTGGGAATTTGAAAGGAGCTCTAATCATACATGATTGTTGTATTCGATAAGTTTGCTGTTGTTTTACTAAAAAGTTTGAAATCACGTAAAATGGTTGAAAACGTCTATAGATATTTTTCCTAATCATGTATACAACCTTTTGGATACATAGAATGTTGGAAACTTGTTTATGATTGGCTTCATCTGCCCAAGAGCCATTATTAACTAAGTTTACTTCAGAGATTTTGGATCAGAATACAATTTCGATCCTTAATTTATTTTCATGTAGGATCTACGATATCCATCTATTATTAATTTCTATATCAAGTATACAATTTCCTGAAATTACAATATTTATGGTGAGAATGAAGGAAGAGGACCGGATAGCTTTCTGCTTCTGCTCAGCTACTTGCTCATCTTATGTCCCTAGAGGCACTCAATATGAGCTGGGACCTCTTTTTTACTCATATACCTATTCCTTCCTCTCTTCTGTCCCTATGTGACCTTTATTTTCTGGCTATATAAAGATCACATTATAATGAACTTGAGCAGTAGTTGCTGATTAGTAGAAACTATAAAAAACAGATTGTTCACGATTGTAATGCTAAACGACAAAATATATTTGCAATCATGGGATCCTTAACTAGTGAAAGTACTTAATTTCCTATGGATATATATATATATATATATATATATACACATATAGTATCCAATAGGCTATCAACTTTCAGTCTTCTTTTGGTTTGCACCTTTGGAGACATCATGTTTACGCTGTTATGTTTAGTCAAAAGATATAAGATTGAACAGTTCAATAGGGTTCCAACTAAGGCTGGACACCCGTGCTATTGTTGTTCCTTCATCATATCAAACAAAATGCTTCAGAAACAAAAGATGTTTCTTTCAGCACATGCATATCTTCTACTGTTTCCAGCTGCTAGGTGTGACTTCAATTAGGTGCAAAATATTGGTCGTTGGTTGTGATATAGTTCCGCATACTTGTTTTGCATGAATTCCCTGCTGACAGTCACCTTTTTTTCCCCTCTATGTTTCTATCTTATGGTTTAATTTCTTTTTAAGTATATTTTTAGGGCTTAACTGCTGAATTATGCTTTTCCATTTTAAGCATACATCTTAGAGAATCATAATGTGTTCTGGATGTATCTGATTTTGAGGGTATTCATGCAATACTAGCTGGAGCTTCTATATTAGAAAAGGAGGTAATGGGTGGACCTGAGCTGATATACCTTCTCTAGACATCAGTAAGCATTTATGGTTTCTTTATGTTTATGGCCCCAAAACCTTTCGAAGTCTTGTAAGGTTGCTTGTTCATGTGTTTGTTAATGCATTATATTTCTTAAGGTGGTCATATAACCTCAACTAAGTTCTGGAGTTAATAATGAGTTGACAAAAAGTGTGCATGAGCATACATGCCATTTATATATTCCATTATATCTCCTTTTTCTTTCAATAAAATATTCTTTGCAGGGTCGGCTGAGGCGAGCCCTCCCAGTATCCAGTCATTACAAGATGGATGTGGTCAAGAAATTGGTTCCTCGGGGTCAAAAATGAGAGTTGTGAGAAGCAGAAGAGCGAGAGATCAAGAGATGGAAAGTCCATGTAACAAGCATGATACAACAACAAGTCAAGTGCAGGAAACTGGAGCAAACACGTTAGGGGATATGCCATGTGTTTTCACAAAAGGAGATGGTCCTAATGGGAGAAGAATAGATGGAATATTATACAAGTATGGTAAGGGGGAAGAGATTAGAATTATGTGTGTGTGTCATGGAAGTTTTCTCTCACCAGCCGAGTTTGTCAAGCATGCTGGAGGTAGCGACGTCGCTCATCCTCTTAAGCATATAGTTATAAAACCCAATCCTTCTCCCTTTCTCTGACCACAAAGAATGGTGATACACTGCCTACCTCAATCATGTGCTGTAAAATGTAGGTAGAAATTTCAGGTTCTAGATGTAAAAATTAACAGCACCGAGGAGAATGAGATTGTATTATAAAAAGGCGGGTTTAGGATTTAAGTTTTATGGGTTTAACTTTTTAAGGTCTTTAACACTGATTATTATATTTTTATCTAAAAAAATTTGGGTTCAAATTTACTATTTGTTACAATTTAATTAGTGAGTTTTTATAGATTAATTTATTTTCTGATTGCAAATATAGTGGGTTGAGATGAATTTGGTGTCGTAATACTGTATTTCCCTCTTGATATTTTATACTAATATTGAGGTACGTATATCAATATATCATTAAAAACAAAAAACTCAAGCGATGTTTTATGTGAAAGACCATTATCCTTTTCAATTAGTTACTTGCTCTGTCGATACTGTTATTAATCTGTATTTTAAAATAAATTCTTTTTGGTAAAATAGAAACATAACCGAAGTTGAAGAATTAAAAGTTTTGAACACAACAGAAAATTGTGTTTTCTTAAGAAATTTAATTCTATCACAATTGCATAAGGTGTTGGATTAATTTCTCCTAGGATTGAATGAAGCATTATTGTATAATTCAGATATTAGAAATTACAGAATTTTGGTGAACTCAACAAATGGTAGCAAATCATATTGACATTTATTGTTACGACCCAAAATTTCACCACATGCGTCGTGATAGCACTTAGTCTCTAAGACTAAGTAAGTCAATTACAATTACATTTCAAGCCATTTTTTTTGAATTCAATACAGGTACCAAAAACCAACAGTGGAAACAATTATGAAAACCTCCCAAGACTGGTAATACTGAGTCACGAATTCTAACTGAATACATGGAATGAACTCAAGGATCGAATACTCAATATTGTTTGATTAATAATTAACAGTACAATAAAATGAAAAGACTCCAAGGGACTGCGACGACCAAGCAGCTCTACCTTGAGTCCTTGCGATCACGCTTTAACTCTGTCCGAGTCCGATATCTCCAATACTTGGCTCTGCACAAAAATGTGCAGAAGTGTAGTATGAGTACATCATAGCCGGTACCCAGTAAGTATCAAGACTAACCTCAGTGGAGTAGTGACGAGGTACAATCAAGACACTCACTAGTCTAATAACCTGTGCAATATAGTATACAAAAATAATAGGAAACAAATAACAATAATGAAAACACTAATCAACCAGTGATATACACAGCAGGGCAACAAGAACACCTTTAATATTGCTCAACAAATAATAAATACAAGTACAACCAATTAATCTAGTCCTTCAAACATAAATCTTTCGCTTATATACTTCTCAAATAATAATCTCCAGGATATAATACTTTCCAATAAATACATTTCAAATATGCTCCCTTCAAATAAATATTTTTCAAATATAATTCTTTCGAATAAATCTCTTTTCAAATATAATTCTTCAAATAAATCTCTTTCGAATAAAAGTCACACTGTGACACCTCATTTCAAAATCATAAAATACGGGTCTCAACCCACTTTCATATTTCCACGGCACCTCGTGCCAGTTTCTCTATCACAACAGCATGGACAACTCACGTGCCAATATCATCATCATTTAACCACGACACCTCGTGCCCATATTTCATATCACAACTGTATGGACAATTCACGTGTCACTATCATCATTATTTACTCACGGCACCTCGTGCCCACATTTTAATTCATAATCCGCCTGGCAATAGCCTCAAGCTCCCAATTTTAACATAAATCAGACTATTATTAAGTTTACTGAAACAACAAAACAAATTGTACAAGTTATAAAAATAAACACAAGGAAAACATAACATCACATAAAAATTACTAACGCAATAACTCCACATCATCACGTATCATCCCTGACAATAGCTACCCTTATCTCTCATATAGCCACCCTTATCACTCCTATAATAGCCACCTTTATAGCTCATATATTAGCCTCCCTTATCGCTCCGTTTAATATCTACCCTTATCGCTCCGCCCAAACAATATCCCAACTCACATAACCACAGTGAAATACCACCCTTATACCCACATAATATCAACAGTAGAATGCTACCCTTATCCGCCGCATAACAGTAACCTAAATCACACAACAATTTACACGGATATTACGATAACACAAAATAACAATTCATATTATAAATTGCCCATAGGCCACAACCAATTCCAAAGATGCAACAAAAATAATTAATTTCATAGTAAATAGCTCAAGGCTCCACACAATGTATATAAACCTCGAAAACAACAACAAGAAGGAAAATTAACTCAGCATGACACAACACCTTCTTTAGTCCAAATTTTTGAAAAATATATTAGTACCTCAATTTAAACTTATTTAATAAATTATTTGCATACGAAAAAATCCATAATATAATTATTTCTAGGAAATATCAAATCAACAAACACACGAAATTCTCATAAAATTTCAAGTCGCAATCACACCAAATTATCATATAAATACAAACTCAACAAACAAAGAATGAGGCATGACAAATCAAGGATTTACTAAATTTTCATAATTTTTTAATTTAATACATAAGGGTGTCTATAAATTTTTAACCGATATAGTTTGCACATATAAACCAAGTACATACTCGTCACCTCGCGTACATGGTTTTTCAATCACACAATTTCCACATAAGACTCAATGCCTAGGAAAAATTCCGCCCTACAAGGTTAGACAAGTTACTTATCTTTTTGAAGTTAGGCCAATATTTTAAAATTGCCTTCTTGCTTGAATTGACCTCCGAACAACTCAAATCTATCCAAATTAATTCAATTCAGTCAATACTAATTATATGAATTAATTCCATATGAAAATACTAATTTTCCAACAAAATCCGAAATTTAACTCAAAAATCGCTGGTGGGCCCACGCCTTGGAATCCGACGAAACTCATAAAATCCGACAACCATTCAATTACGAGTCCACCCATACCAATTTTATCAAATTCCGATAACAACTCGACCTCCAAATCTAAAATTTTCGTTCTTGAAAAGTTTTGCAAAAATCTTGATTTCTTCCATTTAAATCCGAAATAAATGATAAATATAACCATGAATTTATGAAGTATTATCACTTTTGGATATAAGACACTTACCCAAGTCGAAGTCGTGAAGAAATCCTCAAAATCACCGAAGAACCGTGCTCCAAAAATCCAAAAACAAAATGAAGGAAATGACTATTTTTGGTCCTTAAGTTTCTGCCCATCCGTCACTAAATGTCTATTTTCAGTCACTAAAAGTCCATTTTCGTCACTAAAAGTCCACCCCAGAACTTACTTGCACCAACAATTCTTTTTCACTCAAAAGGCTCTAACTCCATCATACGAACTCGGAATTCGACGATTCTTGTTCCTATGAGTCACAAATAATAATACGAACCTAGTTTTTTAATTGAAACTTAATTTGGAGCTCATTTGCTCAATACGATACCAATTTCGCTCATTAAACAATTAACTCATGTTTCGCGCTAAAAATCCAATCGCGACTTGATAAAATTGGACCAAACTTTTCAGATCACTCCTATAATTCATTATCAAAATCACAGATGTCTCGAAATTGAATTTTGATCTCTAGAACTAAAAATGAACATTTGGATCATTACATGATTATGCTGAAAACATCAAACTCTTCCAAAACTCTTCCCCGACAGCCTGTAGTATATCAACCATAACTTCTTGTACTCAACTCGAACTGCCAAATGGTTTAAATTTCTGCAAACTAGATACAAAGGGCTACAATTTTCATGATTTTCTAATCGCCCAACTTGTGATGACCCAATATGTCATCTTTAAATTCAATAATTAGTTCTGTATTTTAAGACCTCGAAAAGCACTATTTATAATTTCTCGACTTGCGTGCGCAGTCCATAAAATTTTCCAGAAAGTTTTAGGTAAAAAAATAGATTAAAGTGTGAATTAGAGCTTTAAAACTTAACTGAGTTTACTTTGGTTAACATTTTGGAAAAACGGACTCGGATCAGTATTTTAACAGTTCCGGTAGGTCCATATCGTGATTTGGGACTTGGGCGTATGCCCGAAATTAAATTTAGAGATCCCTAGTGCGAGAAATAGAATTTTGATGAAAAATTTAAAAGTTTAAGTTTAAATAGTGACCGGATATCGAATTATGTGCAAACGACCACAGAATAGAATTTTGATGATTCCAACAGCTCCGTATGGTGATTTTGGACTTAGGAGCATTATCGAAATTTTATTTGGAAGTCCGTAATGAAATTAGTTTTGAAATGGCTAAAATAAGAATTTAAGTTTGGAAGTTTGACCGGGGAGTTGACTTTTTGATATCGGGATCGGAATTAAGTTTGAAATTTTTTTACAGCTCCGTTATATTATTTATGACTTGTGTGCAAAATTTGAGGTCAATCGGACTTGATTTGATAGGTTTCGACATCGAATGTAGAAGTTGAAAATTTTTAAGTTTTATTAAGCTTGAATTGGGGTGTGATTTGTGATTTTAGCGTTGTTTGATATGAATTAAAGTTTCTACTAAGTTCGTATGATATTTTAGGACTTGTTGGTATTTTCGGACGGGGTCCCGAGTACCCCGAGTGCGATCAGGATCGAAATCGGATCAATTTTTGGACTTACGCAAATTCTGAAATTTGCAGCTTCTAGTATCATCGCACCTGCGGAGGGACTGACCGCAGGTGCGGACTCGCACAAGCGAGCTGTGGCTCGTAGAAGCGGACAAAGGGCTGCCCAGGTAGAGCCGCAGAAGCAGAAAAAGCTCCGCAAAAGCGAAGCCGTTTCTACGATTGAACCCACCGCATAAGCGAAGGACGCGCAGAAGCGAAAGGCATGGTCGCACCTGCGGTTGCGCAGAAGCGGACCATCTTCCGCAGGTGCGAGGGGGGGATGTTCATTGCTTCTTCGCAGAAGAGGAAATGTGGTCGTAAATGTGACTCCGCAGAAGCGACAATTGGTCCGCAGGTGCAAAAGCACTGACCAGATTACAAAACAGAGGGGGTCCGACGTTTTTTGTCATTTGGACATTTTCAACACGGTTTTGGGCGATTTTTTAGAGAGAATTCACGGGAAATTTTGAGGTAAGTTCCTTGTGAGCCTTTCTACTCCATAATATTAGATTATCATTGAATATTTCGAGTAGATTACATGTTTTTGAGGTGAAATTTGAGGATTTATGCCTA